TGTTTTTTTTTTTTTTTTTTTTTTTTTTGTAGTATGGGAGATCAGTTGAACCCAGGGCTTTTTGGACTGAGTTACATCCCCAGCACTATTTTTGCTTTTGTTTCCAGGCAGGGTTTCACTAAATTGCTGAGGTGCCCAGGCTGGGCTCAAACTTGTTCTCCCTCCACCTCAGCCTCCTAGAGTGCTGCAACTATGGGCGTGCATTACCACGCCTGGTTTAAAACTTTTACCTGTCCATGCAGAGGCAGTGGTGAACTAAATAGAAGGATACTGGCCACCATTCAGCATGCTCTCGGCTGAGGCTGACGATTCTTTGGCCAGATCTATAGTTCCTCATGTTTGCCTAGAAAGCAGATCACACACACACACACACACACACACACACACCACTTAAGCGGTCACAAAGAGGTAAAGGAATCTATAAATTTTGCATTTACAAGATCCTGCAACGAAGGCGTTGTAAGTTACTCTTTCTGGGCATCGCAGGTGCCAGCAGCGCAGATGTTAAAGAAAACCGCAATCTGGACAACGTGTCCCCCAGGGACAGCGGCACACCCGGTCCTGTCGAGGGCACCCAGCTCTCCAACGGGGGTGGCGGTGGCGGTGGCAGGAAGAGGCCGCTGGAAGAGGGCAGCAATGGTCACTCCAGGTACCGCCTGAAGAAGCGAAGGAGGATGCCGGGACCCGTGCTGCCCAAGAACGCCCTGATGCAGCTGAACGAGATCAAGCCAGGCCTGCAGTACACGCTGCTGTCGCAGACGGGGCCCGTGCACGCCCCCCGCTTCGTCATGTCTGTGGAGGTGAACGGGCAGGTGTTCGAGGGCTCGGGCCCCACCAAGAAGAAGGCCAAGCTGCACGCGGCCGAGAAGGCACTGCGCTCCTTCGTGCAGTTCCCCAACGCCTCCGAGGCCCACCTGGCCATGGGCAGGACCCTGTCCGTGAACACGGACTTCACCTCCGACCAGGCTGACTTCCCCGACGCGCTCTTCAATGGCTTTGAGATGCCGGACAAGGCCGAGCCGCCTTTCTACGTGGGCTCCAACGGCGATGACTCCTTCAGCTCCAGTGGGGACCTCAGCCTGTCCGCCTCGCCGGTGCCCACCAGCCTGGCCCAGCCACCGCTGCCCGTGCCGCCGCCCTTCCCACCGCCCAGCGGGAAGAACCCAGTGATGATCCTGAACGAGCTGCGTCCGGGGCTCAAGTACGACTTCCTGTCGGAGAGTGGTGAAAGCCACGCCAAGAGCTTCGTCATGTCCGTGGTGGTGGATGGCCAGTTCTTCGAGGGCTCGGGGCGGAACAAGAAACTGGCCAAGGCCCGGGCCGCACAGTCCGCCCTGGCCACCATCTTCAATTTGCACTTGGACCAGACACCGTCGCGCCAGCCTGTGCTCAGCGAGGGCCTGCAGCTGCACTCACCGCAGGTGAGGAGGTCGTGTCCCTGCTGTGGGCACGCTCGTGGGCAGCCGCCAGGCTGGTCCCTTTCTAGCCGCCCCTTTCGGTGGGGGTGGTCACTGCTGTCCTGCTGTGGGGTGGCCTCACCTGGGTTTTGTGGCCCAGTGGCCTCCAGCTGTGCACCTGGGCCCTGCAGTGCAGGGCAGGGACACAGCAGCCCCATCTGTCCACTACACAGGTTTCAGTCACAGTCCCGTCCAGGGGACCGTTCCCTCCGGAAACCCCAGGAGTCAGGGGCAGGACCCTGAGCACTGTTTCTTGCTGTGTTCCCTACAAGGAGCCTCATGTGTTCCAGGATGCTGGGAACCCCTCGGGGTCGGGCACCTGGCTTCACCCCACAGGGCTGGCTGGTGGCTGAGTTCCCAACGTGCAGAGCCTGGCTAAGCAGAGGAGCCCCAGGTGGTGGGGCGCACAAACCTGGGGCCTGCAGAAGGGCTGGGGGGCTCCTGTGTGTGGGTGCTCTGCAGCCTGCCAGCTGCCTGGGGGTCTCTGTGCCCCGAATCTTCTGCCTAGCGTCCATGTGGTCCCCCTGCTTTGCCGGACTGGGCAGCCACTCTGGTTTGTTCCCACCCCACCACATCCCAGCCCCTGGCAAATCAAGATGAAGAAAGGCAGAGTCTCAGGGAGAGGGGCTTTCAGTCCTTTCACCCAGCGAGTTTGGGTCCTGGCTTTCTTCCTAGAAACCTAAATCCTGGTTGGGGATTTAGCTCAGTGCTGCTGCCACTTGCTCCCCAGTACCACACCCCACCCCCAAGAAAAAGAAAGAAACCTGAATCCTGTGGGGCTCCTTTGAAACCTCTTCTGCTCTCTTGCATGTTGGCTCCTTTCTGTCACTTGCTCTTTGTGATAAAGGTGGCACAGTCTACCTCTGACTGGGAAACATGGAGGACTCAGATGTGATGGGCAGGAGGCCATGTGCTCCCCAGGGGTTTCTCCTCTGCCTTTGATGCAGCTCAAGGAAGCTCCAAAGTTGGAGCCTGATGTGCTCAGTTCCCAGTTTTTGAAAAGAGATGTTTTGGTTGAAGCTGCCAAAATGGCATGTGCAGAGATTGATCCATCCAGAATGTTTCCGGTTCTTCACAGATCATGTACTATTTTCTTTGCTGACTCCTTGCTGGCCCTGGCCCTGGGAATCACTTTTCCATTTGTCATTTTACGAAGCAGTGGCCTTAGACCCGGTGCTGTTTAATTCCCAGGCTTTCTGTTTGATAGAGTCCCAGCCACCTGGTCTCCCTCACTGACAGGGTATCCGGGACTGCTGGGACCACTCTGGGGCTGTGGCCTACAAGGCCTGGGGCTGTGCAGGGTGAGCAGCTCAGAGGTAGCAGACAGAAGTGCCCATGAGGGTGTGTGGGTGCCCCTATGTCTCACTGACCTCAGGAAGGGGCCGAGCTCTTGGCCAGGGTGGTGGCTGCATCTGCTGGGATCCAGGTCCCCTCAGCCTGTCCTGTTGTCACCGTCCTCCCAGTTCTGCACCTGTCCAGAACCACGGGACAGCGGGGCTGTGTGCTTCTGCTCTGTGTGGCAGCCCCAGAGCAGTTCAGGTGTGACAGTTTCTCCTCAGGGGACCTGGCGGTGGCCTTGCTGGGTCCAAGCCTTCTGGCCTTATCACTGGGCTCCACTTTGTTTCAGATGTGCCTCTTAGGTGGATGCAGACCCTTGCTACTCCCCGAGAGGACAAGCACCCTGTGTGCTGCTGGAGTTGATGCATAGGCGGGGTTATAACTCCAGACCGTGCTGTGCCCACATAGCTGTGAGAGGCCTCCCCTGCCCTGTCACTCAGGCTGTGGGGGCGGGACTTGGAAGACTATGCTGCTTTTGTGATTGCAAGCCACTTACTGAGCTGTTCACGGAGGCCCGGGCCCCTGTGCCAGGATTGAGAGCCACCCTGGGCCTGGGAGGTTGGTCCTCTGTGATGTCAGCACGGGTGCCAGGCTCGCTCTGCAGGTCACTGGCCCTGTGCCGCGCCCATGCCTCTGAGCGCAGCGACACACCTGCCGCTGCAGGTCACAGAGGCCGCTCTGGGGCTTACTCTTCCCCTCTTAGCATTTTTATGTGTTTTGGTGGGGGGGTTGGCACCAGGGATTGAAATCAAGTTCTTGCACTTTTGAGGCAGGCACCATGCCACTGAGCTAAATCCCTGGCCTACGTTTTCTTGCTTTTGTGTGGGTTCAGTGCTCCGTCCTCACCCCGGCCGCTGCCATTTGGTCCTGTCTGCTCTTGTCCCCTTGCCTGTGTTTACATCTCTATCGCTGAGGTCCCCTGAGAGTGAGGACCCTGGCCACTGCCTGTCCTGCTGTGACACCACTGGGCCCAGGGGTGTCTGCTGGTCCAGCGCTGGGGGGACATCTGCAGTGGCATTGTCCCAAGTAAGGCATCCTTGGGATGAGGGGTGCATCTCTCCATCTGGGAGTGCTCCGCTGGTGGCCCGGTGGCACCTTCGGGTTCCGGTGTCCACCTGACCGACGAACGAGACCGGTGGGACAGAGTGCCAGAGCTCTGCTGTTCCCCGGCACTGCCCCAGCAGCCCTGCCCCAGACACAGAACTCCGAGGCCGGCTGCAGACTACCAGGAGGCTGGCTCTGACAGGCACACCCTGTGGCCTGGGTTTGGGGGGCAGTAGAGGCTGTGAGCCTTCTGCACCCGCAGCTGGGCCGAGTGCTGGGCCGAGTGCTGGGCTGCTCAGGCGCATGTGCAGAGCCTCTGTGTCTTCCAAGGTGAGGCGCCCGCAGAGGCCCCGCCCCACACCGCTCAATGCTCTGGCCTGGGTGGTCAGAGTGTTCTCTGCTTGTGGTCCCGTTGCCAAGGTGCGTGGCACAGGGGAACCTGGGCAGTGTCTGGCAGAGTGGCATGGGGCATGAGCTAGCATTTCTCTGTGCCTCAGTTTCCCCATGTGAGGTGGGTGTGGGCCTCACGCTTCATGTGCACCGGCCCCTGCATCCACGCCCAGGGCCCGTAGGCAGAGCCTCACATGATCCTGGGATGTCTGTCCCCCCGCAGTGTTTTGGAGGAAACACATGTGCACCACACAGGCACATGGGCGCACGCATACTCCGGTCTGCCAGGCTCACTGGCGCAGCTCTCTGGAGTGGGGGTGGCCTACAGGTGTCTCCGTGGAGGGCCAGTGTGAACGGCACTGCGTGGGGCCCGCCCCGTGCACGCTGCCCAACCCCGTCTCTGTTCCTCACACAGGTGTTGGCAGACGCGGTCTCACGCCTGGTCCTGGGTAAGTTCGGCGACCTGACGGACAACTTCTCCTCCCCACATGCGCGCAGGAAAGTCCTGGCCGGCGTCGTCATGACCACAGGTAAGGTGTGCAGGTCGGGTCTGGGCTGGGGCTGGGGCTCAGGGAGGAGCCCCAGTTCCTCTGGAGAAGCTGCTGTGTCCACGCTGGGCCCACTCATCCCGTCACGGGCTCGGCTCTGGACACCAGGCGGGACCCTTGCTCCTGTGACCCCGGGCTGCGGCCTTACCACTGCCGGTGCAGCCAGATCAGTTCCTGGCTGCCTCTGGGATCTGGGTGGCAGTGGCCTGATGACATCTGTCCAGAAGTTCCCAGGGACAGAGAGGTCCCAGAACCCTCATCCATAGCCTGTGTGACCTTGGGACTGCGTCCCTGGCCAGAGCATGGCTCCCTGTGGTGGCAGAGCTGGGCCAGGACCCACTGCAGCCCCTGGACGGTGCTGGCAGCCAGGGAGAAATTCGGGCGACCATGTCGCCTTGCCCCAGGATGCTGCACCTGTTGGATCACCATTGCTTTGCTGCATTTCGGCTCCGCTGGAAGCCAAGCCCCTCACCTGCCCTTGAAGCAGCTTCCCAGCAAGGCCTGGGCCCCGTGTACAGGGGCAAGGGGCAGCCCCGGCCCCTCTGTCTGATCACTCAGCCACTGCCGAGGAGGCCCCTTTCACACCTTCCGTGACTGCTAAGCCTACACCCGCCCTCGGCCTGTGCACTGCCTCCAGGGGTCCGTTCTGCACAGTTGCAGGGCGGGGCTTTCAGTCACCCTGTCTGCAGTGAGACCACACGTGCCTTCCGGGCTGAGGTGAGGTGAGGGTGAGGCGCTCCCCCAGGCTTGGCACCGGCCAGTCCCTCAGCTCCCTCCCACGCAGTGCTATCACCACAGGACACTCCGGTCTTGAGGTCTCGATGACTCGCAGCACTGGGGCTCGAACCCATCCCTGCGCACGCCCGGCCCAGGCAGCATTGGCATCACCAGGCCAGTGATCTGTCCAGGTTGGCGCCAGGAGTGGACGTCACCCTGTTTTGCTGTTTCCTTCTGTTCCTCTTGGAGCCTGGAGGCCATTCCTCCAGCCTCTTTAGGGCTGGGATTGTTTGGCTTTAAGATTCATCACCAGGCAGTCGGGCTGTGTGTGTGTGTGAGCACGTGTGCACACGTGAGTGCATCTGCCTGCATGTGGTGCTGTGGCCGGAGCCCAGGGCTGTGCACATGCCAGGCGAGTGCTGTGGTGCTGAGCTGCACCCTGGCCCTTCCTACTGCCTCTGAGACAGTGCCTCTGAGTTGCCTGGGTTGGCCGTGACCCTGGCGTACAGGTGTGGCCACCGTGCCTGGCAGCGAGCTCCCTTTAGCCGAGTGCCCCTGCCCATGCTCCTGGGTGAGCAGTCAGGAAAGACTGTGACACGCTGCCCTGCAGAGCGAGGATGTGGCATCCAGGGGTGCAGAGCAGGTCCCCGGGTGGAGGCGCTGCAGGTGCGGGTTCAAGTGACCCCCAGGGGATGAGGCTGAGCGCAAGGCTCTGCCACCCCTGCACATCCAGTGCTAACAGCTGGGGCCAGACACGCGGCATCCCCGTGCCCGCTGATGTCCTCCTGTCTTCCAGGTACGGATGTCAAAGATGCCAAGGTGATCAGTGTCTCGACCGGGACCAAGTGTATCAACGGCGAGTACATGAGTGACCGTGGGCTGGCACTGAACGACTGCCACGCAGAGATCATCTCCCGGAGGTCCCTGCTGCGCTTCCTCTATGCGCAGCTGGAGCTGTACCTGACGTGAGTGCAGAGCAGCAAGCAGCAAGCGACTGTCTGGAAGCAAAGCCCCCCTTGCTTCCGCCAGCGCACAGTAATACCTGGGTCCGTGCACATACGCATGTGTGCCCCATGCGGCTGTCACGTGGCCATAGACTCCAGGTCTTCTCCAGACCACGTGCTTTTGTTCTATGCAGCATGGACACACCCAGGAAGTGCTGTTTTCATTCTGGTCCCTGTGCCTGGGCAGAGCTAATCCTGTACTCAACGCTGTCTCTCTTTTGGGCATTGAGCCCAGGGCCTTGCTCTAAGCTACACCCCCAGCCCTTTTATTTTGAGGCAGGGGCTCGCTACATCACCCAGGCTGGCCTTGAACTTGTCAACCTCCTGCCTTCGTCCGAAATAACTGAGATTACAGGCCTGATCCACCACACTGTTCCGGAAAGGCCGCTTCTCATACGTGTCTTTCTGCTCTGCAGTCACCCTGGGAAGGAGCAGCCACTTTGATGATGTGTCCATGGCCAGGTGGGCCTGTTAGCTCATAAATGTGACAGAGCTTCAGGCCCGGCTCCCCTCCCCCTGCTGACCGTTCTGGGCTCTGAAAATCATTCTGAACACGGCATCCTAACTGTCCACCTTTTCCTTGTAGCAGCAGAGATGATCAGAAGAGGTCCATCTTTCAGAAGTCGGAGCGAGGCGGGTTCCGGCTGAAGGACACCGTGCAGTTCCACTTGTACATCAGCACCTCACCCTGCGGCGATGCCAGGATCTTCTCCCCGCACGAGCCCGTGCTGGAAGGTACCTGTGGATCCCCAGGAAGCCTGCCCTTTGGGGAGCAGTGGGAGGAAAGGAGGCACCAGGCAGTGCCCTCTCTGCTACTCTTTAATTTCAGCCCTAGGTGTGGGTCTAATAGAGGTCTTTATAAAAGCGTAGATCCTTTCTTCCTAATTAATAGTTTCATTAGAAATTTTTAACGAATGAAAATTCCTGGTTCTGAAAAAAAGAAAGAAAAGTGCCAGTTCTCCTTAACCTGTAATGAGAGTGTAAAGATTTTAGTGGAGAGCTGTGTCCACACCTGGTTCCTCTGGATCTGACGGCCAAGTCCTCCACACTTGCAGCGAGTATGACTGGGGGTGAACTGGGACCAGGCTGTTCTTCCCAGGCACTGGCACTGTGCAGAGCTACAGGCTGTCGCCTCCACACCCGTCCACTCCTTGCAGGAAAGGTGATACCCACATCCTTGTCCCAAGCGTAAGCATTGTTTAGTCAGACAGGACATCTGCCTGCATTATTGTCCTTGGTCATAAGAGCAATGTGCAAACTCACTGTGGAAAAAACTCAAGAAAGAAAATTAAAATCACATGTGTCATAACCCAGGACTGATTGCTGTGGATGTTTTACACTTCCTGTGGATTTATTCTACATCAATCTGCATTTACTTTTGAAGTAAAATATAACAGAGCTAAATGTCCATTGGCAGAGTTGGGAGATCTTTGCATCTGGTCCTGCACATCCCCTCCTGTTCAGCATTACTGATAGAATCCTTTCAGCATCAGTGGTTCCCTGTCCCCAGCCCTTGAAGAGAGCACAGTCATGACTTTGGTTTGACTTGCATCTTTTCTGCTCAAGTTTATAAATTTCGATTTTTGTGTATTTACGTAGTTATCCTTGTGTAACATGAACATGCATGCATTTGTGTAAGTACGTTATGTATTTATAGGGCATTCTTAGATAGCTTTTCCAGTTACTGAATCTTAGTAGGAGGTTTCCTCCTGTTGGTTCTGAATGCCCTCTTTCTCTCTTAGAACCAGCAGACAGACACCCGAATCGTAAGGCGAGGGGACAGCTACGGACAAAAATAGAGTCTGGTGAGGGGACGATCCCGGTGCGCTCGAACGCCAGCATCCAGACGTGGGATGGTGTGCTGCAGGGGGAGAGGCTGCTCACCATGTCCTGCAGCGACAAGATTGCCCGGTAAGGGCTGCAGCCTGTGGCACCTCACTGCCACACAGCTCCTTTCTGCCCTTTTGGAAATGACCACCCCCAGGGAGCCCCCAGTGTCCTCCAACCCGGTCCCTCGGAGGACACCGGAGGGATGAGGGCACCATGCTGGAGGCTCCAGGCTTCCCACACCACCTTCTTCAGAACATGCGTCTCGGCTCTGGGTTAGAGCGAGGTGTCAATTTTAAAGGCAGCCCAGAGGGTCTGCTTATCAGCAGGCGCCATTGCCCTGGTCTCTGCGTCAGCACTGGGCGTCGACACTGGGGAGCAGTGGAGCCTGCGACAGCCTGTGCCACGCGGGCAGTGGGCAGTGAGCACCATGCTGTGGGTGGCGTGGGCCGGGACTCGGCTCGCCCTCCCGGCGTGTGTCTAGTCAGGTTGCAGATGGCCCATTTCCTCAGGTGCTGCTGCTCTTTCCAGCGGCTCTTTGTTTTTGTATTTCAGCTAAGGTTTACTTGAAAACAAAGAAGTTACATGCACAAATGGTGGAAAGCATATAAAATCGAAACCTCCCTCCTCGGGATCCTCCTGGGCACCCAGGGTGAGCAGCGGTGGGCACTGTCCGGGCTGTTGGGACTGACACGTGCCCAGCGCATCTCCTTTGTCCCCGCACATCCACGCGTGCAGGGCCAGCACCGTGACAAGGTTGAGGGAAGCATGTTTCACTCAGTGGTGGAACCATCATGGCATTCAGGCTGTAAGAGGCTCCCATTTGCATCTTTTTAGCTGTTTGCAAACCTTTTGTGTTGATTTCCTGTGAGGCTCTGTCATGCTGGGTTAACTGTGCACCTCCTGCTCTTCTCCCCAAGCACAGGTCCAGGCTGAGTACCGTGTCTGAGGTGCTTGGGACTAGACGTGTTCAGATTTGGGAGATATTTGAACTTTGGAATATTTTCATCAACTTTACCAGTTGATCATTCCTAATCTGAAAATCCGGAGTCCAGAATGCTCTAGGATCTGAAATTCATTAGAGATGCTCGACTTGTCTGTACTGGGGTGTGTCTACCACGTGTCCTTCCATTCAGCCCCACCTGCGTGGAAGCGACTGTGTGTGTACACACTCGGGAAACAAGCACTCAGGGTGACTTTGGGGGTGTTTGTGTGTGTGTGTTGCTCATCGTAACAGCAGCGTTGTGCTGGAAAGCCACTGTTTCTCCTGTTTTCATTCGGCCCCGTGTTTCTCTTTGCTGCTGTGACTCATTACTCCTGCTGTTGACAGATCCTGCAGCAGAGAGAGGCCTGGGCCACCTTCACAGCCGACACTGGGGTTTCCGTCAGCCGCCTTCCGCCTGTGGCCCCGACTGTCCTTCACATGGCTATGCGGGTCTTTGCTGGGATGTCCTAGGACTGGAACCAAGGCCTGGACCCATGTAATCTTGCAGAGGGCTGGCAGGCTGCTCCCCAGCATGGTTGCTCCCGTGGCCCCACACCAGCTGTGTGTTCTGCGTGTACCCACATTTTGTAAACAGTGCCTTGTGGTTCTGAGTTGCATATTCCTCTCATTGCTGAGAGTGTGCGCATTTCTCCAGCTAGGTAGCAACTTCAATTGACTGCCTCCCTGACGTGCCTGTTTTGCATCCTGTGCTCCTTTCTCTTTGGGCCGAAATGGCTTTTTCTTCACAACTTGCAGAGTCGCTTTGATAGCTGGCACTGCCGTGATCCCTAAGCCTTGAAGAACCCTGAGCATCTTCTCCTGGTCCTTTGTCCACCGGGCGATCTTCTTACCTTGTTGAGGACTGTGGGACCCATACATGACGTTTTATCTCTGGGCTGTCCACTGTTTTAGCATGCTGTTAAATTCAGTCTGTTTTTCACAGCTGTAATGAACTGCCTGAGACAGACTACTTTATTAAGAAAAGAGCTTCCTGTAGCACACAGTTTTGGAAACAAAGTCAAAAGAGCACAGTGCAGGCTCTGATGAGGTCCCATTGACTATGTGGCCTCACGGTGGAGGTGGAAGTGGGACGGACACGTGGGAGGAGAGATCACATTGCCAGATAGGAAACTGGGGAAGGAGGCAGGGGTCAGACGGGGTCTGCTTTTCTAACAATGCTCTCACAAGAACTAACCCAGGGGACCCCGAGAGTCACGGGGTTACCTGAACCCCTCCTGAGGGCAGCACCCTGTGACCTTCCCTGGGTCCCAGCTCTCAAGAGTTCCATCAGCTCCACATGGGGCCAAGCTTCCCAGCGTGGAGAACCGCATTCAAACTGAAACATGTGGCTCACCCTTTACTTGGGGTTTCCTGTGAAGGTTTATATAGTATGCAGACCTGTACATTTCCTAAAATTTTTAACTGTTCTTACCTGATTTTGGAATCAGGATTGTATAGGCCTCTGCCAAAGAGGCTTGGTTTGGGTTCTGCTTTCCGAAGGCTCTTGTGCAAGACGTGCAGACCCAGTGATGCTGCCAAGCGCAGGGCCTTGTCATGCTGTTGATATCCTCCTGGGTTCTGGCCTCACTTTGACATGAAAGGACCCAGATTTTTCAGTTATAATTTCAGGTCCTTTCCTGGTTACTTGTTCATTCAATGTTTGTTTCATCCATTGCTAATTGTGAGCTTTCGTATCGTTCTAGAAACTTACCTAGAATTTGAGGACCTGAGCTTCTTTGAAATAAGTATCTTGCTGTGGATCAGGCAGAGATCAGTGGTAGTAACAGATGAAACTAAGGAAGATCAAAAATGTCGAGTTCATGGTTGTGGACCCTCTGCGGTTCCTGTGGTCATGGCTTAGGATAAGCTACAAGAGAGAGTTGCCAGATGTCCAAAGACCACAAAAGGTTGTGTGCTGAGAGGTGGCTCATGCTTTGCATCTGTGGTCCTCTCCATGGGTGAACTTTCCTCCCATCCAGAGCCCATGACCATCCCTGCCTTGCTCCTGAGCCTGCCATGTGGCCATTCTGACCAGGAAAGTGGTGGGCACAGTGCTGTGTGGTTCTGGGAGAGTCTTTCCTCGGCCTGACTCTGGTGCCAGCTACCATGTGAGTGCTGCTCATTGGGAGGGGCCTTGTCCTCAGGGTGTCCATGTTGCTAGAGATCCCGACTGCCCAGGCCTCAGATCTGAATTCCAGGTCCAGGAAGCCCAAGCAGGGAGGGCTGCCTTGGGCTGAGCACATGGGCACAGACCACATCCCGCTGGGGCAAAAAGAAGGCAGCCAAGCTGGTGCAGTGCCACTGGAATAGGACTGAGAGGGGAAGAGTGTGGCCTCTGCTGGACAGTGTGTCCAGGAAGATGGGGAACCGGTGGTAGACGTTCTGTCCCAGCAGCTGCCTGAACGGAGACACGGTGTAGAAGCTCGCTCCAGATCCACATGAGCAGATAGGAAGAGCAGCCCCTCACAGCACTGTGACCCCCACTTAGGCAGGTTCCGATAGGACAGAAAGCCCAGATTTGAAGTAAAAAGGACAACTTTGAGTTACAATTTCTAATTTATTTACTAAAGCTACATATGCTCAATTGCAAAGTAAAGCACATCTTTGGAGTTGGATCGAGGGAGTTATCCAGATCAGTAGCCCTCATTACTCTCAGTGACTGGGTCCACGTGTTAAACTGAATAGACTGAAGGTAGAACCTCTTGACAAATAAAGCCAAGATAACATCACTGAAAGCAGAATCTAAAGAGATCTTCAACAACAAACTCTCTTTGACCTGAACCTTCAGCACACACACACACACACACACACACACACACACACACGTATAGAAACATGCAAAACAAGTTAGCAAAATGTCACCAGAAATGTCACCAGAAATTCCCCGGTCTCCCAAAGCAGGTCCAAGGGATACTGATGGAGAGGAAATCAAATACCAAATGGCTGAATTGTGTGAGATGATCAGAGAGGAAGCCAGAAAACTTGATGAGATCAAAGATGATATAACTAAACAAAGAGAGGAGCTAACAAGTAGATTGATGCATTTAATGAAGAATAAAATAAAAAATTAGAAAAGCTCACCAAAATCATTGAAAACATGAATTTACAGGGCTGGCGATTTTAGCTCTGTGATGTTGCCGCCTGCCTCACAAGTGCAAGGACCCGAGTTCGATCCCCAGTACAAAAAAGAAAACATGAATTACAAATTTACCAGAAATACAGAGCCCATGAAAATGTGCCAAACAGAAATCAACAAACATAAACATTTCTATTAAAATATGAGCAGCAGAAGTGATCATTGTGAGGAGAGAAGTCAGATCACAGGACTGTATACTCAGAGAAACCTTAAAAGCAAAAACAGAGGACAGAAAATAGATCCAACAGCTTCTAGATGATGCAAAGAAGACTATCAATGTAAGACTAATAGAGAAGAGTCAGGACAGCACACATAGAATAAAGCACCTACTCACAGAAACCACGGCAGAAAACTTTCCAAGTATGGGGAACGAATTCAGCATACAGGTGACCTCTCCATGACGCATCATAGTCATAATCCCAGAAGTCCAGTGTTAGGACAGAATCTTAAAAGCTGTCAGTGAAAAGCAAAAATTCACTTATGAAAGTCAACCCATTAGAACTGTAGCAAACTTTAAAGGCCAGAAAAGCTTGGAATGAAATGTTTCAGGTCCTAAAAGAAAAAACTTTCAACCCAGATTAATATGTACTGAAAAGCTCTCTTTCAAAATTGATAGAGAAATAAGGGCATTCTATGACAAAGATCACCATAAAAGATATATGAATACCAAACTAGTGTTCCAGAAAATTCTCAAGGATATCCTAGGTGGAAACAATGACACCAACAATACGCAAAAGTCTGATGGAAAGCATTCAAGCAGAATGAATAAACACAAGGGAAAAAATGACAGAATGAACAACAGAAAAATAATGCAATGATACAAAAAAGATAATACCTTTCAGTAATAACTCTCAATGTAAGTGGCATCCACTCCCCAGTCAAAAGACACAAATTGGCAGATTGGATCAAAAAACAAAATTAAATGGTATACTGCATACCAGAGACACATCTAATCCAAAAAGA